TTAGTTCCGGGGACAACTGCTGCCAGGAACCACCCGCCGACGCGGGGCTCTTGGAGCTCAGCCTTGCCGGCTCGCATTCCTGGATTTCTGCGCGATCTCATCGCACACAGCGTGTGTTCCACCGACAATACCCCCTCTCAGGCCGGAGTGGGCCTCTGCTCCTTGTGACCAAATGCCAAACCAGCACCCAGAACATGCAAACAGGAAGCAAGCCTTTCTGATAAGCCCGAGACATAAAATACTGAGCAGTCCTAGTACTGAAGGAACATACAGAACTAAAGAGTACCCCCCCAACAACAACAAAAAACCCAAACCTCACACCTGACAGAGAAGGGGCACAAGGGAACTTTCTGAGGTAATGGATGGAAAGGTTCTGCATCCTGACAGAGATGCATGTCACTCTTTAGTCAAAACTGATCAAACTATAAACCTGTGACCATTTCACTGTCTATAAATTATACATCAATTTAAAAAACTGACGCCCTAAGTCTAAATTGTTCCCTTGAGAAGACTTGAGTTTTGTTTTGTTTTCCAAAACTAAATTGATCTGGATAAATCTCACAAACAATGCTGAGCAGGAAGAAGCCATATGCAAAAACACCTGAGTTTCTATTTATACACGGAACAGACACAGAGAAATTCATCTCCACGTCATAGTCAGAGTAGGGGCTAACTACGCGAGACCAGGAGGAGCCCAGAGGGGCTCTCGTTGGGCTGGAAGGCTCTGATTTCTCATGGCAGTTCAGACTGACACTTTCATCAGGGCATACTTCAAGACAGAGGCATCTTCCTGTACATCCACTTATATTACACCTTAACAATAACACAAAAGAGAAGGGAAAGGAAAGAATACCTTATACTAATCTAAAAGGGATTGGCAAAAAGTTTGTTTTGGGTTTGGGGGGATTTTTTTGCCTCTAGTGAAATGCTTATTTTGAACCAAACTCTTTAGGCAGTAACAAAGAAAATTAAGACTTTAGTTACACCATTTGTAGAATTCTAATCTGACTCATGAATGTGATATTGGCGGAGGAAATTCATTCATCAGAGTCCTTAGAATCTGGTAAATTAAACTACATCCTATAGTGTCAATTCCATATGGTGAATTCATCCATAATCTAAATGAGCAGCAGAGGGAAAAAACCACTCTCCACATCCCTTTTCTACTTTAACAAACAAAAAAAGAGCAAAATCCAGAGGAAGAATTATTTAGTCACAATCCCACTTCTGTGTTTTCAAATGGAGAATTAACTGAAATTCATACATTACCCTGAGATGAATTATTTTAAAAATAAACATGCAGATTTTGATTTTCAGAGACTTGTAGTTTAAAAACATTTCACAAACTCGATAAAGTTCAAAAGCATAAAAACAGAACAAATAAAAGTGGAGCAACAGGTCACCAAATTTGAATACCTAAAAAAATAAGAAGCTGAAGAGTAAACTGAAAAGTACTTACAGCCATAATTAGTTCAAAGGGGTGTTTATACACCCTCACTGGTGACTGGTATTTTTGCACCATGATTGCAATAAAACAGCAATCCTCTCACACCTGCAAAACACAAACATTTGTGATAAATAAACATGATGTGGAAAAAATTAAATCTGCATTTACACAACATACTACAGTCTAAGGAATCTCAGCGGGTCGTAATTCTATGCACGCAGAAGTCAAAAGACGAGGCTTAATTATAGAAGGACAAGGGAAGGCGATAAAGACAGTAAGAAAAGGTGAAGAAAGCCCAAGTGGAGTGAGGGGAGCAGCTCTGTTCTGAGGGCTGGAGGACTCCATTGCCCTACCTGCCTCACCACCTCTCCGGGGGCTGCACTGGGTCCTTTCCAGCAGTGAAATGTCATGATTCCATTATTCTGATAACCCATACAATTAGTTCTTGAATCATTTTCTCTTCAACAACTTCCATTAGAAGCCAAATAAAAATGGTGGCACTTCAAGATATCAAGCCCAGGACACACAAAAATAAAAGTGGAAAAAAACACTAGTGTGTCTCAAATTATGGGATATTCCTCAAAAGCTATTTTCAAAGGAAACTTGTCAATCCCCATTTTCTAAGTGCAAGACCACAACTTCAGAGACTTCCCTGGTGGTCCAGTGGTAAAGAATCTTCCTTCCAATGCACGGGAGGTGGGTTCCATCCCTGGTCGGGGAACTAGGATCCCATGGGCCACGAGGCAACTAAGCCCACGCACCACAACTACTGAGCCCGCGTGCCACAACTAGAGACAGAAAACCCGCACGCCTCAGCTAGAGAGAAGCTCGCGCACCGCAACAAAGATCCTGCATGTCACAGTTAAGACCCCACGCCGCAACTAAGACCCCACGCAGCCAAGAATTTAATTAATTAATTAATTAATTTTTTTTAAAAAAAAAAGACAACTTCAGGGATCTATCTTCAAATGGCAGAGACACCACCAAGCACTCTGGCTAGAGGCTCCACTGACTTCTCCAGCCTCAAATAGCTGTAATATCAGGAAGCAATCAACTAAGTGCTGAAGCCTACTTCAAAGTCAGGAATCCTCCTGCCAGGGACACATTTACACACTGGCCCCAGCCTACCTGGATTTTTCTGAAAACACACTTTTATTTGGAGTCCTCTATGGGACTTCACTTCCCTATTTAAAAGGAAGGAAGAAAAATAAATCCAAAGAGCCTACCTGTCCTGCCGAGGATAATCATTAAGAATGTTATTTTATGCTGAATATGGTGAGAGGATATTCAGAAGTACAAAATGTAATATCCTCAAGGAGTCCAAAGTCTAGCTGTAAAAAAAGAAAACTTTACGAAGATATGCTTTATATCATAAGATTCCTACCTATATTATTACATTTGAACAGGTCTGGAACCTCCTCTGGTATGTTTCGCATATCTCTCAGAGAGAACAGGTTCCGGCGGAAAACAGCCATATCTGGCACTCTGAAAACTGCTAAAGAATAACTCTGGGAGACCTCAAGCAAGTCATTTGACTTCCCCCGGACTCAGACCCACCTCTGCAAAGCGAGGTTTGGGGTGAGATAATCTTGAAAGACTTCCAGCTCTAAAATCATGAGACTCAGAGACAAACTCCTGAATCCACCACAATCAACTGGAATGTCGTCATTAATCTTGATTCTGGGACTAGCAGGTCCTGGTGCGCTGGGACCGTGTTCTATAATCTTGATTCTGGGACTGGCAGGTCCTGGTGCGCTGGGACCGCGTTCTATTTAGTTTTCCCAACCTGATAATGCCGGTGCACAGCAGGAATTC